CCCTCAGAGATAGGACGGGATCGTCAATGCGCAGGAGGAAAGATAGTGGAGGTAACGACTGGTCGCGGACATAGCCTACCGGTGTAGGAAAATATGCGCGGTTAGCTGTGTTGGTGACGGAAATTCTTGTTGGTTTTTTTATATACTTCTACCCCAAGTCGCGTATGAATTTCATAACGTAACTTTGGGAACTCCTGAGGTCAGCTGGAGAGACCAAATATATATTCTAATGCTGTACTCTAGATGCGAGCCCGATGAGCCCAGAGTACATTGAGACTGAGGAAGGAGCGAAGGACGCGGTTGGTCGGTGGCTGGTGAGTCGACTGGAAACGGCGCTAGGGTGTCAGTTGTGGTTTTCAGAGTGAGAGTCCTGATCGTTGCAGTGATGGAAGCAACTCAGTGATGCACCGAGACTCTTTTGATGACTCTTTGTCGGGTGGTGATGATGATAATGCATACTTGGACGAGTACGGCGATCCCACGAAGCAGAATTCGAATGCTCAAATGCAGTTCTTCAATCAGGCGGCGATGAGCTTTGGATACACTAGAGTAAGTGACCTATGATGTGCTGGTTTGGCAAGATGGGATGTCTCAGGCTTTGGGCATGCATGAAAAATTTGCAGGAGTTGTTACACTACATACTGGTGAAGATCACCCGTCAGAAGAAGCAGCAAAGGAAGCGACGGAAGGTTCGTCGAAAGGGAAAGAGCCTGATTCAAAACATTATTATGGCGGTTCGTGGTTTGGGGGTTGGCTCGGGAACAACTGAGACCCCCTGATCGACGCGCTATTGCATGCTTATACTTATCATATGCAGCATCGAGTTGCTTGAGATATGCTCCCTCAGTGTCTCTCTGGAGAGGAAGTGTTTATGATGATGTTGCCTAGTGTAAAGTGGTGTACTTATATCAACTACCATTGCTCCTATCGGCTGAACATCTTGCTGCAGTGAAATCCGAATTGGTATCTAGATAATCACCCTCCTGTTGCGTTCGATGAAGTGATCGAGGCCCCGAAAGAGTTTTCGAGGAGACACTCGGTCCGAAACCATTGAATGGATTAGATGATTGCTCAGCTGAGCAGAGCTGATGAAACTTTGCTGTATACAAGGAAGAAATTAACCATGGACAATTGAGCAAGGTGCTGGCGCCCGAAGTGCTCCTTGAGAAACTCGCGCTCTTTCTTCTCTTTCCTCATTCTGCGGTAGATCTTTATAGGTGAAAGATTTTGGAACATTTCTTCGAATCGAAGACTTCGATGAGTTTGGCTACTACGTAGACTTCAGTCGGAGTCGGATAATGTTCAGAGCCCCTTCCTCTGAGAACGCAATCAAATCATGCAAAGTCAATGCGAATTCCACATTGCAGAACGTACAACGTCAGCTCAAATCGTTGGAGTAGATTTCTGAAAAACGTGACTCGATATGCAGCTTTGCCGCCTTCCGTGACGGAAGTTCCATCACCTAAGGTGGCTCGCCTTCAGAGTCTGTGAATCAGTGCAAAATCCGTCTCTTGCCATAAGGGATACCATAATGCTCAGTAAGTATACTAAGGTCGCCATGGTTGGAGAACTGAGTGGATTCAAGGAAGCAATTCTAGTAAGTAAGTAACTTACCAGTGGTAACTTACTATTACCCAACTTACTATTACCTGTGGAGAAACTCGAGAAGGGAATGAGGAAGGCGGGCATTTGAGCTGCCAATATGAGTCAAGTAGATGAATTTGGCAAGACTATCACGAGAACTGTTAAGGTACAAATACTCTTGTGCTCGTCCTACTTCTCATGAACTCTTGATTGTCCGATCGCGAATAGCGATCGCGAATGATAGTCTAGCGAAAGTAAAACACTTCGAATGACTATCGTGACTCACGATTCGTGAGACGAATTACTCCACCAAACCCATACCTCGTTTTTAAAGTAGTGTGCTAGGGTATCCGCGGCACTTCCCAAATCGATTTTCATACTAGAAAATCTGGCATTGGATGCTCTCGTTTCAACGAGGGGTTTCTCCAAGATCCCAATAGGATCATTGCACGAGTCAGCTCTGCGTTTTACATGGTAACGAAGGAGGAAACCTTTGCTGTCTAGTGCTTTGCTGTGCGTGATTCGAGAGGAGAACAAATTCTACTAGATTGGATCCTTTCAGAGATCAGAAGTATGTGGCGTAATATTTGCAGCTGCCTCACTCAAGAGGTTGGTGAAGAACTCAAGAAGCCTCTAGCGCGGTTCCGATCTTCAGATGGAAAATCGGTCGTTTCAGATTATCAACAGTGCTATACAAAAAATATGAATAATATCCATCACACTTCATACCGCCTGGATCGTTGATAACCACCTAGTTGCAGCCACGGTGGCTGAGCCACCTCCAAGATCCTCCTGTAACGCTCATCTCCTCGTAGACGCTCGGATGCCGAATTCAATATGAAGTCCATATTATGGGTATCTTCTCGTTCGATTCAGCGAAGAGAGCGTA